TTAATTTTTCCATAATGTGTCCCTGTTCTTATCCAGATGTCCTCCATCAAACCCATAAAGCCAAAACCTGCAGATAATCTCACAGAATTGGGCTAATTTTCAGCCCATATGTAAAGTATCTCATATGTGAATAGTCAGTCTGCAAAACTGCTCAGTTTACAGTAGGATTGTCACATGCCAATATCAATATCAGAAATTGGTCCGATATCAGCCAAAAAAACAAGTATTAGAATATATCGGCATGCATCTAAAAACTCCAATATAAGCATGTCGATAGAAGCCCCAGCATTTCTGAATTAGCCTTGATTTGAGCATCGATCTGTTAAACGTTGCCACAAAACAACACTGATAGACTTGTTTGCAGCAGTGGCAGAACCTCGTGTGATTCATATACTCACCCTATGGTGGGGCTTATATTGTGATCAAAATGATCTTGAACAAATCTGCAAACAATGCTGGATTTACCCACTCCTGTGTCCTGAAAGCAGAGAGGGTCACATGTCAGTCACAGCAAACAGAAGCACACAATCTAGGGTCCCTTTGAACCAAACTGATTGAGCAACTGGATAGTCAGGAGCTCAGCTGATCAGTCCTTCAATATCAATACTGACCTTAGGTTTACAGCAAAAATTTATGTCATTTGTTTTTGTTTACCCAAGTAAGCAGAAATTATATGTGGTGCTATGAAAAAGTGTTTGTGCTTTGTGATCTAAAACATTTCAGTTTTCAATTTACAATTTCATTTAATTTAGAATAGTTGGCCCATTTAGGTCCCATTTAGATGTGAACTTTGACTCCAAAACTTGTATTTTGTTCTTTAGTTTTGAGCCATTCAGAAGTGGACTTGTTGGTATGTTTTTAAACTAAAGGCCTAAGAAGGACATGCGACTGTAGAATAACGTCTCTGCTGCCCAGACACTGAGCTGTTAGCCTGACAGTCATGAAACGGTCATACACCAGCAGCCTTCAGTCAGAGGATTCACCGCAAGACTAACTACTACTGGAGATCCTTAACTGCCCACAGCATCACCACCCACAATCAGGCTTGTTGCAATAAGCAGTAAGTCAATTAATTGCATATTAAATACAAGCTCTATAATTTCCATTTGCGTAATTTATCATTTCTCTCTGTCTTTGTACCAAAGACTGGATGACAAAAGTCTTTAATCTGGTGCTTTGGTCTAAACTAGCCCTTTTTTGAAGGACAATTTTGTTTACAGAGACGTCATAATTTGTTTTATTGGTCGATTCTAATTTGTTTATTTACTTTGGACATTTAAAATGTCTTCCACTTCCAACGTTAAATATGCTTTAAAATCAAAAGTTTATTGATCTTTGAGAATGTTCTTGCATTCCTTTTAATTTGAAATTATTCCAACATATCATTGTACCAATAGATACAAGAAAGATACAGCTGTGACATCAAACTATTTTTATGAGCAATGGATACAGTTCAAATTGCAGGAAGTTTGTGAAAAGTTAAAGAGGATTAAATGGCTATCTCAAATGGAGCCAAAAGTACAATTATAGCCCTCTAATTAAAGGTTTTCCCGAACAAAGTGAACAGTTTTGATGAGCATGTCTGTAGCCTGTAGCTTTGTTCACAGAACTTTACAACCTTTTTAAAGTCTAAAACTTTCCACTTTCGCCTTAATTTCAGTGATAAAGTTAAATTTGTTTTATATAACTGTTAATCTTTGATAGATTGTTTAAAGATAGGTTAAAGTTTTTTTTCCCCCCTCTTCTTTATTATTTCAGTTTTTGCAGACGCAGCAGGAAACCTAACGGCTTACGTGTAGCCGCTGGTCAGTGGATGACGTCACGGGCAACAAACTGTCAAAACCGTTAAAAAGCCGTTAAGAGAAAACCGAGTAAAAACCCGGTTATTTTTTTGTTTAGATAGTGCAATAAAACAAGCCAGAACAGGACTGCGGTGCAAGTTGAGTGGATTGGACTTTTTTTTTTTTTTTTAAATAAACAAGTTTTTCGAGGTTAAACAAAGAAAAGAGCTTAAGTCTCAGCTGGAGGAATGTAGAGCCGAAGCCTCTGCGTTGCTTTTTAACGTCAAAATGTCTACCGTTATTTCCAGTCACTGATGGAATTTTCCCCCCTAGAGAAAAACATCTGCCACTTACCCCTAAAAGGCAAACTTTGAGCTCCCTTATAGCCATGACGGGTTCTTTAAAGTGTCTAAATCATCATTTGTCGGTGTTCTATCGTTGTTTTTGTCTCGTCATGTTTGTCACAGCTATTTTTCTCCACTCTTCTTGGATAACAGAGAAACCCAGCCCCTGACACAGACGGGCTGACCATCAACCCTTAAAGCTGGCAGTCCGTGTCGACTTCCGATCGAGATTTTCAAAATAAAACATTTTTCAAAAATTGGTCAGTAACATCTTTTTCATCTTAAAAAGTTAGAATGGGACAAAAAGGTACACATTTCACAAAATAATTCTTAGGTTTAATAATTATGGCTTACAAGAGTTAAAACTGCAAAATTCAGAGAAAGAAAAGTAAAATATTGCCAAAATAACTGCACAAGAAAGCAGATCAGCCCGAGCTGTGTTGGTGTCAGATTAAATCATTAATTTATCTGTGATATCACGTCAACATTAGCGGAGCTGTTAACTGTTTTGTTGTGTTTTTTTTTCTAAACAGCATCTATAATACTTACAGATTAAACCTAAAATGGACAAGCCTGCACTGAACAGAGATTTAGTCAACAACCTTCAGGTTTTCCTTTGGGTTGCTTATTTTCTGCCACAGAATAAATGTTCCTCAAACTGCAGCTGACTTCCACATGTTTTTAAACATATGAAAGATTGGATACTTTATTGTATCTCAGATTATATTGTAGAAGAGTTGTATTTGTATCCAAATAATGTACCAAAAAAAAAGTTTTCTTGCTCAGGAGGAATTTTTGCCCACTTTACTTTGCAAAATTGTTTCACTTCAGCTACATTTCAGTTTGAATTAAGTCAAAACTTTGCATAGCCCATTCCAAAACTTTTGTTTTTGAGATTTTAGTACTTACATTTAAGGTCATGTGGCAATGGATGGACATTGTTGCTGTGATGTTTTTCAGATATTTCGCATCAATTTTATGCAATATGTAGAAAGAATCATCAGGATCTTTTTATGAATATTTAAGATGGGTCTTTGTCTTGTTTTTAATCTTGGATCTGTCCCACTGACGTAATTTTTAGTACCAGTTACAGCTTTAACATGTTCTATGTTTTCACCATTTGTGGATAAAGACGCTCACTGTGCGTCTTTACTCTGGTACTCTGGAGTCAAAAAGCCTTAGAAATAGACTTTGCAGAATCATCTTTAATTTCTTTATGTTAGAGGAAAATTTATTGGTTTCAACCTACTTAATGATGTCAGAAAAGTGTGGTACAAATAGTGTACAGGTAAAACTAGACAAATGTATGGAAGAAGATCATGAAAACTGAAAAAAAGAATTCTGACTTTTTATTAATCTCAAAATTCTGAACTTTTTTTCTCATAATTTTGATATTAAAGTCAGAATTTAAGCTTGTTATTTTCTCGCTGAATTTTTTTTTTTTTTTGTCACAATTGACAAAAATACTTTTAAAGAACCAGTTTTATCGCTTTAGGATCGCTCTTCAACACCCTTATATTAAAAGGGAGCACTTAATTAGACTGGGAGCTAAAAAGTGGAAAATTCTGACACTTTCAGAGTAAAACCCCCAAACTTTCAGGCTGTGATCAACAAGCAGTGATTCAGATCAACACTTTATTCTTCACAGCATTAGTCTGCCAGCAACAGTCTGGTACAAAAGCTCCAAACAATGTGAAAATAGCCCCAGGAGAAGCTCTTGTGTAGGTTTCAGTCACAGGATTAATACAGTTATATCCAGCCTGAGACAAAAGCATGGGCAGCCACACTATAATCATCTCTACAAATCAGTAATGATATAAAAATCAACATATGAGAACATAAGAGCTCAAAATACATTGCTATAATTTACAATAAAGACCACGCCTTCGCTTTAAGTTGCATTTGAATGATGACAGTCCCTTCCAGGAGTCAAGGATCTGTGATGAAATGATGGAACACAAATATAATATTAATAATAATAAAAATAAAAATAAACTGCACACAAATAACCTACAACACCCTTCAGTGGTTTCTTCACACATCCCACATAAAACATACCCACAGATGTGCAACATCAACATTAAACCTAAAATCTCCATGTTTCCGGTGAGTGCACTTGTTTACATTTTGCTGTGATGGAATCAAGGTTTTTCTGCTCCAGTTTTCATTTCAACAAACAGCAACAGAGCTCTATATGCCACTACAAAGCTGTAAATTAAATCAGGGCATTTATTGAGCATGACACACTGCAAAAACGTAATTTAAGTATTTTTGTCTTGCTTCTAGTACAAACATGTTTAAACACTTGAAATAATACAAAAGTAACTTATGAGTAACTTTTCAGCAAGATATATGAGCTTGTTTTAGGTAATAACTCCTTAACATTGAATATAAAGTACTAGTTTCACTGGTCGATTATTTCACTCATAAGACATTTTTCCCATATTATAAGTGAAATAATCCGCCAGTCTAACTAGAAACGGGTTGCTAGGTGATGAGCTGGGCTTGGCTGGGGTTGCTAGGTAACAGCACAGTGCCTGTTTATTATGAAATACATGAAATAATCTACCAATAGAAGTCAATAATCAAGTAATTATTGACCTAAAACAAGCTCCTATATCTTGCTGAAAAGGTAATTATTAGTTAATTTTGTCATATTTCAAGGGTATGAAGATATTTACACTAGAAACGAGACAAAATACTTGGTAAGATTTGTGTTTTTGCAGTGTATGTATATTGTTAGAATGATACTGAAGTTTAAAATATACAGAGAGACCGATCAGAAGTCCTCCAGCGCTCGTATTTGTGGTTCTCTGGCGACTTGAGTTATGGCACAGTGGTCGGCGATGTCAAATTTGAGGGACTTGCAACAATCTTACATTTTGTGATGATTTCTTGATTTAATTATCAGTGAAAAATAAACTCTAATCTCTCTCACATCCATCATTGTCACCCTCTAATCCTCTTTTAAACAGGCTTGGCACAGCAGATTTGAATGAAATGGTCCCTGGGAGTTTCCACAGAGGTAGCGGATCATCTGCGACAGCTGCTACTCTGTTTCTAGGTTTTCTGTTTTGCAGTGAAGAGAAACAAAGTCAGGATGCCGCAGAGGATACAGGTGTTCAGTTTCTTGTTTTTGGTAACCAATGCTGCAGGTGAACTGACCATCTGCGGAGACGACTGTCGCTCGCCTCACATGTTGGTGTCTCGCCTGTCTTTGCTCGGTGACGGCTTTGAAGGATCCTTCAGTGGCTTCCCGTTGGTTGGGGCGGGCGCGTCTCCAGTGGCGGCCACGGTGGAGATGGAGCGTTTGGTTTGTTCCTCGCTGCGGGCCTCCGGGCTCGGCTGAGTGGGAGGAGCTTGTTCGGCCGGCGGCGGGACGGTTAGCTCCTGCTGCTGCTGCTTGTGGCTCTGCAGCAGGCGGAGCTGGACCCGGAGCTCCAGGATGGCTTCCTGCTCCTCGTGGATGGCCTGGTTCAGATGGGTGTTTTTGTTCTGGAGGGAAACAATGTCAATACTTCAGTGGCTGCAACTAACGACTATTTTAGTAATTGATTATTCTGACAATTAAGTGATTATTCTCACAATCAAACAATTATTCTGTTGATTAAAAGATTGTTCTGACAATTAATCAACAGCCCTGATGATTAATTTATTATCTTCACAATTAATTAATTGTTCTGTTGATTAATTGATTATTCTGATGATTAATCAATTATTCTGACAATTATTCACATAATCAGTTGCTTATTCTGACTATTAATCGATTATTCTGTTAATTGTGGTGATGATCTTTTGTTCTGACAATAGATCGTTCTGTCAATTAATATATTATCCTCACAATTAATCGATTCTTCTGTTGATTAATCTAATGATTCTAATGATTAATCAACTATTCTCACCATCAATTATTCTCACAATTAATTGCTTGTTCTGACTATTAATCAATTATCCTGTTGATTGATTGGTGTGACAAATATCCTTTTCTTCTGTCAATTAATATATTATCCTCAGGATTAATCAATTATTCTGTTGACTGATTGTTTCGACGATTAATCTGAGACAAAAATCGGCAAATTTTTCTGTTTTTTTATTTAAACCCTTACGCCTTTTGTATACAATATTTAAAATACATCAAAAAATGCAAATAAACAATTTTACTTGTTTCAATGACAAAATAAACATCTAATTTCCATAAATGCAACAATAATTTTAGCAGACTTAGAAATATTTCCTTTGTTTATTTAATCAAGTCCTACTGGTTGATCTGGCACACCATATATTGTTTTATTGTTTTACGCTCTTAAAGACAAGTTTGTTCATTATTATAGGGTAGGTTTCTATTAGTACCGTCATGAATGCTTTTTTCTTTTTCTCATGGGTAATTTCTGCACGTTTGTATTTTTGTATAACATCCAGTAACATCATTTCTTTAGTGAACGCTTAATCATTTGTAGCAACCGATGCAGCTGTAGCTAAAAATTATTTCTAATGTCAACATGTGAAAGGCTCGGCTCTTTCTGTTTAATATAGTTTGGGGCTGATCTGCTGACTAGTTTTTGGATTAACTGATTAATAATGGGATGCAAAAGGGGATTAACGGGAGATTTTTTACTTAATATGAACCAGGTAAAGCTAAGTTAAGCCACTGGATGGTTTCTTTGAATCTTATATGTAACATATTTGTACAGTTTTGGTTTAATTACTGCTGTCAGTGTCTTTTTCTTTTAGCAAATGGCCTTTTATCAGGCTGTTAACTCCAGTCAATGATTACTAAAGTAGCTGCTAATTGTAGTAATTTAATAACTTCTAGGAGGCTTAAATACAGTGAAGCACAAACGCATGTTAGATTTTTGTTTCAAAATAAAAAAAGTTTAAGGGGTAGGAATACTTTTGCACACTCTTAGAGTTTTAACAAGCATTTCTTTTAACTTTACACTCTTGGTGCCCAAACAGGCCGTTAAACCATCCTGAACATTTCTCACCTCTAGTTCCTCGTTTTGTTTCTGCAGGTCTTCCAGTATCATCTGCAGCTCTTCCTCATCTTCACTCTCACTTTCGCTGTCTGAGGAATACTCCTCTGTCTCGCTGCGGCCCTGCTGCCGACTGATGAGGAAACACGCCGCTGTTACCACGCTATAATCACAAAAATTAAAACGATTCTCTGCTCTTCTCCTACCTCTGAATGTCTGCGATTTCCGCCCTCAGCCTCTCGATTTCTTCCTTCTCGGTGGCGATTTGCCTCCGCAGCACTTGTTCGAGCGCAATCAGCTCCTCCTGTTCGGTCAGGATCTCATTCTCCTGATCACCCAAAAGAAATTGTGCAGAATTTTAATGCTGAATTTACTGGCATGCTTTTGATTTAGTCACACGAAAGTGTATGAATGAGTCACCTGTGCTAAAAGTAGGTTGATGACTTCCTCTTCGTTCTCGGTCATTTCCTCTTTGGACACGTCCTCCTTTGAGAGACTGGCGATTTCTTGTGCTATTTTACTCTCACACTCCTGACAACACAAATGAAAAAGAATAGAATAGAAATAAGCTTTATTCCAAAGGAAAATCAGATGTAGACTCAAAGAAAATAAAATCTTACCAAGTATTTTCGGTCTAGTTACTAGTTCAAATATGTTATTACAAAACAAACTTACAAGCAACTTTTCAGCATCGTTTTAGGTCAATAATTCATGAAAATTGAATAAAATTTCCATTGTCAGATTTTTTCACTTTCAACATGGGGAGAATGTCTTGTTATAAGTGAAATAATGTGAAACTAGCACAACTTCATCAATACCGAGGAATTACTGACTTAAAGCAAACTAATACATCTTACTGAAAAATTACTCGTAAGCTAGAACACTTAAAATAAGACAAAATGAGAAACCAGACAAAAAATGTTTAGTAAGATTTTGTGTTTTTGCAGTGTTGTCCCAGTAATTACTGAAATAAACTATAATATTGTTATTTTAAGACCATTTTCAAATGACACGCTGCAGAAAAGCTCAATTTTATCAAGTATTTTCAGCCTAACTTCTAGTGCAAGTGTACAAATGAAATAAGACAGTAAAAATAAATCTGAGCTTATTTTAGGTCAATTATTCCTGAATATTGATGAAAAACTTAAAGTTTTACTGGCAGATTATTTTATTTGAAACATGGGGAAAATGTCTTGTTATAAGCATAATGATGGAGCTGCAGTTATTGATTAAAACAATTTAATTCCATCATTTTAATAATGGATAAATCTGAATTCATGCAGGATTCAGCAACAGCTAAATGTCTGCTGTGTTTTTTTGCCTCCTGAGTTTTCCTTCATCTATAATTGATCATTCCGGACGATGGGATCGTTACCTGCCGCTTGGCCTCCCTCAGCTTGCGTTTGAGAGCCGTCAGGATTCTCTGGACCTCCCAGAGCCGCTCCTCCTTGGACAGGTCCTTCACGCCCGCCTGCAGGTCTCTGTGCAGGCAGTTCAGCAGGAACTCCTGGACACACACATCTTCACTGGTTCACACTGATCCAAGACAACGAGCCTGACAAGCATGCAGGCGTCAAACACAACAACAAACGGCTGCAACAACACCAAGTCTGGGTTCCTGCAGTGCTTCCAAACTTATTCAGACTCATTCATACTTGTTCTACGTTAGTTTTTATGCGCTAGTTTTAGAACAACTGTGGAACAAATAAAATCTGAGGTTCACTCTGTTGTAAACATTTTTTGAAATGCTTGTGCTCACAAGTTAATATTGTGAAAAAATAAAAAATAAACCGTTTTTCTTGTCTTTCATTGTAAATGTTTAAAAAAAAAATTGGAAACAGAGAAAGAAATAAAAATAAAGATCCCTAAAATTTTTAAATTATGATCTAAACACAGGTTAGGAATTTAATTTAACATAAAAACATGTAAATACAACTGCATTTATTAATGTTATTAGAATTTTGTCCTGTAGAAAACTTAAGATCAGGGGAGAAAAAATAAATAAAAATAAAAATCTAATTTTTACAATTCCGATTCTTTTTTTTTAATGATTTAAAAAAAATAATAATAAAACTTATGTTTTAATCAGAGATAGGCAGAATACACAAGTAAGAGTACCACTCTAACATATTTTACTCAAGTGAAAGCATGGTAAAATCTACTCCGAAAAGGAAAGTTTTTCTAAAAAGTTACTACTTTAACAGTTCTTTTGTAACCATGCTCCCTTCTTCACACATTGAGCCGATGGAAACGAGAAAAAGACGGTGGACTGAACCCAACCTGCCGCCGAATCTCCTCCTTGATGTTATCCTGGGTCTCAGGCAGAGCGGGCATGGTCGCCATGTTGGACCAGCGCAGCGGCCGCACCACCGGCTTCAGGACAACGTCCCCAAACAGCTCCTTCACGTGGGTGAAGAAGATGTAGAGAACACGGTTCCCGATCTGAAAGGAAGAAGAAGGAAATGTTTCCACCTGCCAGCTGAAAGGTTTCCGGAGCAGCTTCTCTATAAATTCCTGAATATTTACTTGTCCTCATTACACTGATCCTGGATCAGACGTGTTTATTTAAACAGAGGAGTGGAACGAATGGAAAAGAGGAAAGAGAAAGAGAGAGAGAGACAGAGAAAGAGAGACAGAGAGAGAGTGATGGATGGATGGATGGAT